ATATATATATATCCCTATCCCTATTGTAATAAATGAATAGTTTTAATCTTCTTTTGTCAAGTGTCGTTCTAATACAACTCCTCATTAATATTATGTCATGTGAAGTAGATATATATTAGACAACTCATTTCAAAATTCAAATTTACATTTTTTAATTATATGTTAAATTTGAAGTTATAATAACTTTAAAATTTTATATATCTCTTAATTAATAATTTATTTAAAATTATTTATTTAAAATAATTAATTAATAATTATAAATTTTTATTATAAAAGTTTATTTAATTTTATAACCGTGGTTCCCACGGTTTATAAACTACTATATATATATATATATATATATATATATATATATATATAATGCAAAATATTGAATGAACAAATTTTAAAATGTTGTTAATGTAGCCGTATTGATTATATTTCAATATTGTAAAACTAAAATTATTTAAATTTCAATATTGAAAAACTATTTTTAAGTTTAAAAAATCAGTTTATTTATATTTCAATTTATTTTAACTGTTTGCAAACGTTAAAAACAGTCTCTTTATATATTACAAACATTTGATCCACCTTTTTTTTCTATAGATATGTTTCGCATACCACAGACATTTTACCTCTTAAAAAATAAACAACACCTAAGTCACTACATTCGTATGTATAATGTGTATGTATAATGCACTGGGAACTTAATAGCCCAATTTGCTTAGACAGTTCAAACTTTAAATCACTTCTTAAATACAAATTTTATTAGGTCTAAAAGAAAACTAGTTTCTAAGGATATTTACGAATAATAGCTTAGCGTGAAATAGGAATAAAATGTAACGAATCTAAGTCAGATGATCATGGGGAACAAATCATCTGTACCAAACAAAGCAAAGAAAAAGCACAAAAACAAGACCACATGCACTGCATTTAACTTGCAAAAGCAAGGAGCAAGCAATGATGAATAAACCCAAAAAATGCATAAGAAAGTAGTTATACAATGTTTTTTTTCAATATATAATAATAATAAATTCTAAAAAAAAAACCTATGGGCTCAGAATCCATAGAACCCCTTTTTTACCTAAAGGGAAGTTCCACATGAATATTTTGTCCGTTGGTTTACACAGTGCTTGTTAGTGCAATGCTTTGCAACATGGTTCCAGAAGCATTATTAAGTACCTACACCAAATAGTTATTAGTATAATTACATTACCAAAAATATTTAACATTATAAATAATATTCTGTAAAATTGGAATATCTGAGTTTTAATCCGGTACGTCATAAACCACAAAAAACCATTATTCTATTTGAAATTTTATATCGAAATTATAAATGTTTATGTGTAAGCATAATGATATTAGCAAAAAAAATGAACACGATAATGATCATTTGAAGTAACAGAAAATGATATTATTTACTTTTTTCTATCAACACCTTGACCAAAAGCTTGTTATTAAACATATGATTTTTTAAGTTTGGTATCTAATTATATGTTTCCTGGGTATCAATTTGATTCTAAATGTCACTTTATTTTTAACTTTGTGAAGTAATGGTGTTATTTATCATGTTTTTAGATTAGAATGACTAATGGTTATTTATTTTAGATTATAATGCACTATAATTTACTTATTCTTTTATTGATACTAGTGTGTTAAAGATACTAGTGTGTTAATTCACAAGATTTGGCTTTGATTGTTATAAGGAGCATTTGGATTCAAGTATAGAACAAGTAAAAGTATATAGGAGTTAAGAATGTATGCTTAATATTTTAAGGAAATCAAGTAAACTTATTAAAGTGAGTTAGTACACCAAATTGCAATCCATAAACAGATTGTTGTTGGGTTTTGGGATGGAATACGAGTTTTAAGTTTTAACCTAAAAATTGTGTAATAATGGAATCAATATTACATGTTAAATGACAAATTTGGTGTTATTCGTAGAATACATTTGTGAGACTATGTATCTGTTTAAAAAAATGAGAGAATGGTTTCTTTATGTGGTTGGCATGATGATGCCAAAGGAAAATAAACTCAGAATGTGTTGTTTTTGTTGTAATTTATACACAGATTACATATGTAAAGAAAGGGTTAGTTAAATGGTCAAGGTTAAATAAATAAGGTCAAAAGGGTCCGGGCTTGGATTAAGGGTATTTTGGTTATTTCCCTTGTTAGGTAGGTTAAATGGAGTATAAGCATGGTTCTTGTGTTGTACTAGTCAGCTTTTGGATTTAGGATTTAAGTTAGAACTTAGGTCTATGGGAAAGTCTATCCTGAAGAATGGCAACAAGTTTTGTAATCTTTATGTTACAATCATTCAATAATAGTGATTTTTTTCTGCAATTAAATCATTGAATATAACAATTGCCATCAAAGCAAGAGCAAGTTCAATCCAGCAATGGCGTATAGGGTCGATGGTATAGAAAAAAGTTTAAGAGATTTAAGGGGCGTTTTCCTAACAGATCTTGTTCCTTGAAGCAGATGATGATGAAGAAAAAGATGGAATCACCGATAAAACAGCTAAATCAAACAATTCAAGACAATATTGACGTCATATCAAATTACGATCGATCAAAATGAAAAGTCTGAATAATAATAGTCGTTTCTTTGTAATTAAGAGCAAAAAACCCGAAATACATGTATTTAAATGAAGAAATCCAGACGGATGGATCTTAAGAGTTGAAAGATACTTTTAGTTAAACCAATTAACATTTGAAGAACAAGTACAACTCATTATTTCATTTAAAGATGATGTGTTATGATACGGTATCAGTATGAACACAACACATACGCCAACCATTCACGCGATGTGAGGACATGACAGTGATGTTATTAAAATAATTTCATTCCTGTTCAACTCAATCCATATACAAGCGATTTTCGACGCTAAAGCAGGATAGATTGAAGAAAGACACTATGTATTGAATCAATCCATTTATCATTCCATCCTCCCAAGGACTTATATTGATGTCCTTATATTGATTTAATACACGGTGGCTCTCTTCCATCGAACAATTGTGTTTTAGCGTCTAAAATCGCTTGTTTTTGTATCGAGTTCAACAAGAACGAAAGTTTTTAATAGCACCACTTTCATGTCCTACCATCGCATGAACGGTTAACATCTGTGTTCAAACTTCAAACTAATACTATCGCAAAGCATCACCTTCAAATGAAATAACAGCGACTTCTATTTGTTTTTATATGTTAATCAGTTTAAGTGAAGGTAACTTTCAGCTCTTAAGATCCAACCGGGTGGATTTCTTCCTTCAAATACAAATATAAGTAATTCGAGTTTCCTGCTCTTAATTGCAGATAAATGATTATTATCATTCAGATTGTTGATCGTAATTTGAATTGGTGTCATCAATGTCTTGAACTTTTTGATTTAGCTTTTCAATTGGTGATAAAATTGTTTCTACGTCAATTGATCCATCAATTGCTTCAAAAAACTGGTTTTCTATTTTGAAAACGTCCATCCAATCACTGAAACTGTTTTCTATATCATCAATCTTTTACGCCATTGTCAGATCAAACTTGAACTTGCTCTGATAACAATTGTTATACTCTAGTGTTTAGTGCAGAAAAAACTCACTAGTATTGAATGATTGTAATGTAATGATTACCAAACTAATTGTCATTTTAGAGGACAGACTCTCCAATAGAACCGAGTTTTAACTTGAACTCAAAAGTTGCCTAATAACAACACTAGACCCCTAGTTATACTCCACTAAACCAACCTAACAGGGAAATGACCTAAAGACTCTTAACCCAAGTCATGACCTTTTTTTTTACTTTATTTATATAACCTTGACCATTTGACTTCCCTTTCTCTGCATATCTAATCCATATATAAGGTACAACAGTTTTTCATGTTCAAAGAATTGACAACGTATAGGATGGATTACGGCTTAATGTTAGTAATTATTTAGAACAAAAACCTAAGGAACGACTCATTGGTTTAGTATTGTGGAATGTGGATCATCAATATTATTAAACATTGGTTGGGTAAATGTTCTATAACTGAATCATGATATCTTTTGTCGGTTAATGAGACAATGTTGTTTTAGATAACTTAAACCGCTCTCCATGGTTTGTTTGCTATGGTTATACAATCTTGAGTCATGATTTGTATATTAAGAGAGTGATTAGTTTATGGCATCTCTGTTCTTGGCATCAATATTCACATATACCACCATTTGAGATTAGTTTATGGCAAACCCGTTCTAATTTGTGCTTTACTGATGAGCTTCTATAATAATTCCACAAGACAAATATGTCCACCCTGAGAAGATTTTTCTTCCATTTTGCTGTTCAGTAAAGTGTTGTAAGTATCTTAGGTGTTCTAAGGAGTCTAGAAGTAAGTATGATGAGAATTGCTTGACCCAATATCATATATGGCCACTCTATCATGGTTGATCACATAATATGCATCCTTGTTAATTTCCAGAATAAGTTGCAAACAAAGCATTAATTGTAAAAGAACAAAGGCATTACCCTGAGAAAGCTCGCAACAAGCGCGCGCCTCTACGGCGACGTGAGACGTTAAGCGAGCAGCAGCAACCACACTGTGCAACGGCAGCAGCGATTGAGTGCAGCCAATTACTCCTCCAATAGTCCTTTTTAAATATATCACAGGCAATAATGAAATTAAATGATCATGTTAATTGAGAGCTAAATGGTGATGCGTATTGGTACTTATGTTACCCGAAACCAGGGATGGAAGATGTGGGGCCGGGACGGAGGCGGTGGCTGTGAGTGTGAGGGCTTGGTTGCGGAGGAGGACGGAGACGAGGGAGAGGAGTGGTGGTGGAACGACGGATTGTTGAAGATCTTGCGGTAGAGATCAGCGACCTCGGTAGGGATCCGCAGCGCCAAGCCATTGTTTTTGTGTGAAAATTGAAATGCTGAAAACAATTTAAGGCTTGAAGGGTTGAAGGCTTTAAGCCGCAGTCTATTTGGGCTAAAATTCTTAAAGATCAGAGAAATGGATCGGGCCGATCTAGGATCTACTCCTTGCTTGATTTTCTTTTAACCAATTCAATTTTAGAAATTGTTTTCTAAATTTTCTACATATATTTTTTTTATGTGTGTTTTTTTTTAAGATTTCACTTTTACAAACTAACTTATTTACAAAATCCATTTCTAAGTTTTTTTTTTTAATACTTAATTTGATGAATATAAAGGTTACAAAAATTCATTTTTACCTATTCGTTTTGATAAGTCCGTTTTTTCATCTTTATTTAAAGTTGTAAGAAATTTACAAATTTTGTAAAAAGTAAAAATATTTAAAAAAAATGCACTTATATTTTCGATAAAAATGAATTTCTAAAAAGTTGTATAAAAGATAATACTTAAAAAAAATATTAGCGAATTTGTAATAAAAGACATTAAAACTAAATTATTAAAAAAAATAGGGACAAATTTCTAACAAAAATAAAGTTCAGTCAAAATTATTTTAAAAAAATAAGTAACATGTAAACATGCTCCAAAACACACTCAATAATCAGTTTTGGAGGATATTATACATCTTTTAGTTTTGAAACCAAGTCTTGTGTGTTTTTAAGACTTTTTGTTTGTCAGCTTAAATTGATTAAATGACTAAGTTGTAACCTTCTAATTTTCGGGAATGAGATTTTAGGAATTTCATGCAATTAAAGAAGCCTACTCAACAAGTTGAAGGCTCCAACTCGTCGTGTTGAGATTAGTCAGTCCGCGTGATTTAACAGGTCTACTCGACGAGTCGGAGGACCCCCAACTCGACAAGTAGGAGTTGAATGAGAAAACCCTAATTTTCAGGGTTTTACACCCTATTTAAAGGATCATTAGCCTCCCTCTGCCTCCCTTACCGTCCCCCTTGAGCTCAGAAAACTCTAATCGCGCCTACTCTCCATTTTTGTGTGTTAAGAACCTTGGAAGGTGGATTTTGTGAAGAGAGCTTGAAGTCTAAGGAGCTTGGAGCAAGGAGAAGCTTGTGGATCTGATTTCTACTTCATCTTAGCAGCATCTTGAAGGTGGTTGAGTTCGTGGCTGTGATTCGGGAGTTTGACCTTATCACTACAGTTCGATATCGTGAGGTGAGTTCTTCTCACTATATCAACAGGGTCTACGGTACCAAGGCCGGCCCTTTACGGTTGTATCCTGGTTATAGGATAGTTTCTATGTTAGTGATCTATTAGATCAGTATCCTGTTTATAAGATGATTGTTATGTTAGTGATCTGTTAGATCGGTATCCTGGTTATAGGATGGTTGCTATGTTAGTAATCTGTTAGATCGGTATCCTGGTTATAGGATGGTTGCTATATTAGTGATCTGTTAGATCTGTATGACTATCTGTACATGTTAGCTTCCGTATGATATTTATGTGCACATGTTTGTTTGATTGGGGGTTGGGTTGAGGCGGTCATGCTTTGTGCTTGTGCCAACATACCCAGGGCAGACCAGATAGACTGCAGACCCGGTTAGGGCGTACTAATCAGGACGAAGGCCCGACAAGCGGTCCGGATAGGCTGAAGGCCCGCGAGGCGGTCCAGACGTACTGATGGCTGGGAGAGCGGTCCAGATAGACTGATAGCCTGCGAGGCGGTCCAGTCAGGCTGATGGCTCATTATTCATGTTGTTTTGTATATGATATGGTTATATTTGTATGGCGTCGATATTTTGGGGGAACTCACTAAGCTTCGGGCTTACAGTTGTTGATTATGTTTCAGGTACTTCTGATGATCGCGGGAAGGCGAAAGCGTGATCGTGCACCTCCTTATGTTTTTATGATTTGATTCTGGGGATACTCTGATATGATACTATTTTGAAAACAAATTGTAATAATATAATGGTTTTAAATGTTTTAAAAAGTTTTAAATTTGCATGATGTTTGAGGGTGTTTCAAGTTGGTATCAGAGCCTTGGTTTGAGTGAATTAGAGGAAACACTCGTGTGTATCCAATCTCAAACCGAGGACAAGATTTTTAAAATGATTTTCAAATGGTTTCAAAATACTAAAGGAGGATGCAAGTGTACGATCAGCAGGAGCCAGTAAGTAGACCCCAAAATACCTTACGGATTATTTGATTTATGTGATATGTTAGAACAACATGCTAGTACTAGGCTTGGGATCTTCAGGAATTGCATGATTGAATTGCCTAATTATATGATGCCTGATAGCCTAGGGTTTTCCTCGTATGAAATTGACATCATTATTGAAGTTGCTTAGTGTATACATCACGGTTGTACATAATTAAGATCTTATAGCCTGAGAATGTTTGGTTTGACCTTATTTCCTGTTCTTGTATGATTAATGGCTTAGGGTAGGATCATGTATTCGTCTATAGGGTCCAGTGTTATGTATGGCAAGTATACACTAGTGTTGCAGGGTTAGTGGAAGTTTCATGGATGAGTTGTCTGGGATCAGTCCGCCAGTTATGAGATATTTAGCCTTCCTCTAGGAGTGAGGATTGAGCTCATGCCATGCTTACGTATAGTGTTAGGGCATTGTGATGATACTTGAGACAAATATGGGTAGGTGTAGAAGGTAGTATGGGCCCGTACTACTGAAAGCACAGGACCCATACACGAAGCAAGGAAGTCACAACCCCTAGGGTTTTGTTGGGAGTTGGTTCCCGGATTATTATATGGAATATCTGATATCTTCCTGGTATATTCAACATGGTCATTAGTAGACGATTTGTGACTGGATCCGGGTCAGGATCAGGAGATGGCAGACAGGAAGCACCAGCAGTGCCCGAGATTGTCGGCCATATGGGGCCAGACGAGATGGACGCCAGGATTCGGGAGATCCTGCATGATGAGGTTGCTGCGATGTTCCGGGCTCAGTTATCGGAGATGTTTGGGTCTATCAAGACTGCCATGATGGATTATTTCGATGAGCGTTATGCATCCCTCACTGAGACGGCTGCCGCAACAACTACAACAGCTGTAACGGTGGCAGGAGGAGGAGCCAGTCGGGCTTTTCAATACCGGGACTTCGATAACACGAAGCCCCCAACTTTTGATGGAGTACAGGACCCTATTGTAGCCATGAGGTGGTTGTCGGACATGGAGGGGTGTTTCTTCACGTGCTCATGTCCTGCTGACCAGAAGGTCAGATGTGCCCTGAACCTGCTGAGGTCCGGGGCAAAGAACTGGTGGAGGTTGATGACGGGGTCGTATATAGATGATCAGAGAGATGCGGTTACTTGGGAGCAGTTCGGGGATATGTTTCGCGCTCGCTACATTCCACGGTCGAGGGGGAGCGGTTAGCCCAAGAGTTCTTGGAGTTGAGACAGGATGCTGAGACGGTGACGGAGATCACCCGTATGTTCAATGAGAGGGTGATGTTTTACCCGGAGTTTGCTTCCGAGCAGGCTCAGATGACACATTATCTGAGCATGCTCAAGACTGACATCCGTCAGTTTGCTGCTACCCAACGTTGTGATACACTGCTAGAGTTACAGGAGGCTGCTAGGCGGCGTGAGCTGGAGATCGAGTTACAGTTACGGGAGCAGAGGCAGGCCCCCGCGCAGTCACAGTCGGCGCCAAAGCGGTCTAAGACCGTTGATTCTGGGTCGGGAGGCCAGCAGGACCGCACTTATGGAAAGTGCGGGAAGGGTCACTCAGGAGTTTGTAGATATGGTAGTGCATGTCGCAAATGCGGCAAGGAGGGGAACTTTGCGAGGGATTGCCGCCAGCTAGCCTCGGTTCAGGATATGAGGATATGCTACCACTGCCATCAGGTTGGTCACGTGAAGACCAACTATCCACAGCTCGTTGCAAGGCCGGCGCAGGCTCTAGCGTCGGCCACACTGAGGGTTACTAACAGGGGTCAGGGTAGAGCAGAGCCTCCGAAGGCTCGGGGACGCGCCTTCCAGCTTACAGCCGATGAGGCCAGAACAGCACCTGATGCGGTTGCCGGTATGTTTCTACCTCTTATCTTACTATTCATGATTATATTGTGAACTTTCATTTGCCCTCTGCATAAGACGTTAGGACATGGGAAGGTCTGGGAATTTTAGTATCGAAGGGTTGTAGATGGTTAGGATCCAGGGATGCATTTCAGGATGAGAAGTTAGGATAGAGAATCACCATTCCAGGTTCAGTAGTTGTAATCTGGAGATTTAGAAGTATTCAACTGGGATTCAAGTTTCTCTTGAAGTTCGGTTGCTCCATGCCGGAGGGTTGTTCTGCATAGGTTATTCATTCCAGGGCTAATCATTCCATGGTTAAGTATGGTAATACCTGGTAGGGACGGTTAAGCCGTGTTTTGGTTTCGCCACAGTAGGTAGTGGTTAGTGCTCCAAGTGGGGGAGAATTGAGGTTGGGTTCGACTTACGTATAGGGTTAGGTCGGGATTATAGTCTGCGGATTGGATCAAGAGTTCGAACCCCGAGTGGAAGAGAGCTGGTCATTTATGGACAGGGCGCCAGGATGAGTTCAAGGTTTTGCTCAACGGACCTAGGGCGGCCCAGATAGACTGAAGGCCAACGGGGTGTACCTGTCAGGCTGAAGGCCCGAAGAACGGTCCAGACAGGTTGAAGGCCCGGAGGGGCGGTCCAGACATGCTGAAGGTTCTGAGAGTGGTCCATATAGGCTAAAGGCCAGGTGAGGTGGTCCAGTCATGCTGAAGACTCTGTATGTATTTTGTTAGATCTACGTTCTAGTATTGAGGATGCTACTTTGTGATAATAACCTGTGGAATTGTACGTTCCGTACTTGCGGGTTATCACTTATAGAGTGCCCTTAGGGACCCGTCGGTGGTCATGTACGAGAGCCTAGAAACTCATGAGTTGCAACTTGTTTCAAGAGGGAATCATGCGTGGTGGAGTTTCAGTATTGCGAGGCTTGTTTGGTGACGTGAGGAACGTTGATTAGGCCTTTTGGGCAGCGGAGGAAGGCGGGTACCTTCAGGCCCGAAG